CAGAAATCAGATAAGTCAATCAAATATGCTAAAACTGTTCATTATAATAAAATACCTTCTGGAGGGTTTGTCACCCAAATATCCTCTCTTACCCCATGGGCTTGTTCAGCTTGGAAAAGAAGGCTGCAGGAAGAAATCACCACAGCCTCCTAATATTTAAATGTTGTTTATAAACATGAGGGAAATAAACTTTTTACATGGGTAGATATTGATATGACAAGGGTGAATATTATCAAACTAAATGAAGGGAAACGTATAGATTAGATGTCAGAGGAAGTTTCTTACTGAGTGATGAGGTGGTGAAACAGGTTGTCCACAGAGGATGCCCTGTCTCTAGAAGTGTTTAAGGCCAGGTTGGATGGGGCCCGGGCAATCTGATCTAATACTCAATCTAGCAGTTGGCAATCCTACCTGTGGCAGGGGCTTAGAACTTGGTGATCCTTGAGGTCCCTTCCTACCCAAGGCATTCTATGATGTTTCATCACATGATCAGTAAAAAACAGACAGGCTACAGTATGTTTATGACATACAAATAAATTTCTTCAGCACTTTCCTAACATTGCATACATAACAATTTATACCTCTCAAAATTCCAAATAATGCAAACCAACTCATGAGAGCAATCGTACCTTTTAGACATTACAATCTGATGGATGTTTTGACTGGCTTCAGGTTGGGAATAAGAAGAATAGAATCTACCCCAGGCACATGGCTGAATTTCCAAAGGAGACATCCTGATCCTCATACCAGAATAAGTAGCCCAGGGGGGTGGAAAGATTATGCATTTAAAGAAAAAAGTTCACAGTCAGGGCTCAGCTATAGACTGCTGTTTTATCTCTAGAATTGAAGTAGGCATGTACACAACCACAGATGTATGTAAACATACAGTCAGCAGAGAACAGCTCAGCCTCAGGGGACAAACAGTCCCCAGTGTCTGGAGAAATTAAAAAAGAATTCTCCTGGGAGAAGAATTTGCTTAAGTTTCCTCTGTTCTCACAGTTTATCTTTAATATCCCCAGGTGGAACAAAAGCCCTTATCTTCTCTTTCAGGAAAATATTGACCTAGGTAGTTCAGAAACTGCAGGAAAATCATTTTCTAAGGTACACTTGACAATAGGTTGTAAATCTAGGTGCTGAGTGGATTCAGAAAGCTTCTGGTTAGGATTATGTTGCAGTAAATACCAAGTTAATTCAGATAAACGCCCACCAGTAGTTTGCTGCAAACTAGGTGCAAACATACGTCCATGCTACTGCTTCAGTCTGGCCTGACTGAATGATCAATGCCACAAAGGATACCACTAGAATTAAAAAAAAAAATAAAAATACTACACATTGGAAGAAATTAGCTAGATATGTCATATATGGATTTCATTTTTTCATTCGATAATATCTTGCTTTATAACTATTTAGGTTTTATTATATAGCGTTTTATAAATACCATTGAGTTTTTCTGTTATTTGTTTTTTGAGTGGAGTAGACGTCTGGTGATTACTGCTCTGTACCAATTGCTTAAGGAAAGAAACAAAGTAGGACATAAAAACTTTTAAGAACAGCGGATGTTTAACATTGAGTATTTCAGGAACTAATTATCTATGGCTCTGAATGCAGAGTTAAAAAGGCCATTAAAAAAAAGAAAAAACTGGGAAGGTCCCAGCGATTTGGAGAGAGTGGAGAAGCCTCGGCTGCTCCGTGTGACCATGGCGCCCCCTGCCGGAAGTAAAAAACACAGCACCTCCCGCACAGCAGCAGCCTTCTGACGATTACAGCATCTTCGGAAAAAAAATATTAAAAACCACACCAAACTACCAAAAAAACTAGAAAAAAAAAAAATCCAAGGATAACATTAGAAAGGATTATTAATGAGGACAAACTGTAATAAACCTGAACTACGTTTCTTTAAGCTATTCTAAAATTTTAGTTAAAGAAAGTTAACAAAAAAGAAAGACAAATATAAATACACATAAAGAAAAAACTGGAGTATAACATTCTTGTCTCTACAAGCATTGATCAAAGACACTGAAGCATGATTTTCTAGCTTTCTTCTATTATATGCCAGAAAACACACATGGTGTTTTAAATTGTTATTTGTTTTCTATGCCAGCAGTATTAAATGCTTCCATTAGCACTAGGGACTCACATGTCTCTCAGTACTTATAAGTGACATTTCTGCAGAAGTGTTCTCAAATCAACTGAGCTGACTCACACAGGACCACCTATGCATACCAGCTAGTAAAAAAAAGTTCTCTAGCAAAAGTACTCTAGCCCATTTCACGCATGCACAACTAGAAGAAAACGCAAAATTAACTATAGCCTTAAAACACAATAAAAAGTGCAGCAATAACAGCAGAGCAGCAAGATCCTAGGCCACAGCAAGCAACAGTTTGCTCAAACACAACAGCTATAGGAAAAAAAAAGGAGAAAAAGCTGCTTACTTTCAGGAAGCCTCAGATACCAGAGAGAGACCTTCACATCCACTGCCAACCCTAAAATGATGTCTGGGAAGGGGTGGATCCTGGCTCCATTGCTTCCAGTCACTCAGGTGCACTGCATGCACCTGAGCTCCCCTGAGTTGGCCCCGCCTTCCCACCAGGTGCTCAATCACTGTTTCAAGCCCTGACTTAGCAATTCTGCTACAATCCTACAGACTTTTGTGCTCAGTCTTCTGCATTTTTCTGCAGAAACTTACTACTGCTTTCTCACTGGCCTTGTGCAGCATAATGGTATTATGTTTACACCTTGCAAGAAAATGATTTTCCCATCATGTCCACAGTTAAAATGGAAAGTCTACTCATGTAGAAACTGAAATGACTGATGCTAACAACGTATTGGTACACTGCCACCTGGACTGCAATTCATCCGACTACGTATTCATATATTTACTTCATATAAACACCTATACTCAGGCTATTTACATTTTCCTGAAAACGTTTAAGGTCAGTAAGAATTCAGCCACACAGGACAGATGCCTTATTCTCACTCTAACACTCAGCAGATTGCATTTTCAGGAGTTAGATGTGATAATCCTTTTAGGTTCCCTCCAACTCAGGATATTCTATGATTCTAGAAGAGCAGGCTTGCAGACCATCCATTCTTTCATCAGGCTGCACAGTAGGGCAGACAAGAGACAGAATGCTGAGCAAACACCCATATTCAAATCCCTTGTCCTTCACTCTTGCTCCTTAACAACTGTCACTATACCTCTTGCAAAAAGACCTTTAAAAAAAAAAAAAATGTGATAGCACTTGAAGCAGGGACACAACTTTCATCTTAACTCTGCAAAGGACAATTATACATGACATCTTTTATTTCTACCTTTAGAAAGAGCTTCAGTTCATGAAAGACCCTGGGAAAGTCAGGTGGACTACAGACCGCAAGCGTTCCAACCTAGCTATATCCTTGGAAGGGCCAGAAAGGCTCAGTCATTCAAACCACAAAAGAAACAGATTAGGAGAGAAGAGAGAGATGAGAAAGGACAGAGATGGAGACCATCTAAAGTATGCACTCTGAAGGGAATAAACTTGAAGTACACCTGAGATCACTGATTGGAATTTCATTCAGCAACATCCTTGAGTACTTCAGAAATATTCCACATGTAGGGGAACTGTCAAGTCGTGGCTTGAACTGGTGACAGAGCACCTGGTGAAGGGACGTGGTTGTCCTAGGAGAACAGGAAATTGTTTGCGCCTGTGCTCCTCACATGACTAGAAGGGGTGGACTCAGGGTGGAGCCACCCTGGGCTCATATAAGAGCCAGCTACAAACAGCAGAGCATCTCCTGGATCTGGGCTCCTTTCTGTAGAGGAGTGCTGTCTATAGCTAGGTGATGTCCTCCATCAGCTGGGTGAGTTCAGCTCTTCTTTCTGTATGTGACTGTGGGCCTGTCTGCAAATACTTTATCTGGCATCACTAAAGATCTGTCAGAAGTAATTCTGCTTCCTTGCGAGCAGAATGCCTGTGGTATAGTAGCACAGTCAGCTATAGAATCATGCACTTATCCCTATATGGCAGCTGATACTTCTAACAATAAGTTAGACCTGATGACTTTCAAGGTGAGGCTGGATGAGGCTCTGGGCAACCTGATCTAGTTGTGGTGTCCCTGTTCATTGCAGGGGAGTTGGGCTAGATGGCTTTCAGAGGTCCCTTCCAGCTGTAGGGGTTCTATGATTCTAAATGGTTAAGAGCAAGTGCCACTCTTCATAATCTAGTGAACTTTTGAGAAAAGTGTTATAGGAAGAAAAGGTGTGAAAGAAATCAGGTCAGCAACAAGTAATGATATTTTAAAGTTAAACTTCAAAAATCTGTATTTTATTTCATTTTAAATTACAGATTTCATCTATCCTTTTGTCTCTATGTGTATCTGCAAGATCCAAAGACTACACTAAGGCTTATTTCTGTTGTAAGGTGGCTAATACATCTTCTAAGCTTTGAGCAAGTTGTTACTCATCTTTCTGTGTACTTTCATGCAAGTAGTTCTAGTGAAATGACCAGCAGACATGCTGCTCTCATACACGTGGGTTGTGATTTCAAGTTTCTCCCCACTTCCATCAACTCCCCTCACTTTAATCACGGGGGTTTATGGGCGCTCTAAGGAGAGGCCTTACCCCAAGGCCCCACCGCAACTTAGGAGGAAACGCTGAACCTCCTACAGGAGTCCGTGCGCCCTCCAAGCGCCGAGCAGAGCCCCGCACCTACGAGAAGCCCTCCACGTTCCCCTACAGCACCCTCCAGAGGCCGCTGCCCCCCGCGCATGCGCGGAGCCGCCCGCAGCACGGCGACGTCCGCTCCTCGCCAGGTGCTTCCGGATCGCGTCCGTGCGGGGCGGCGGCTCGGCGGCTGCTGCGGGCGCTCGGCGGTGCTGAGGGGTCTGCCGGGGGTGAGCGGTTCGGCGGTGGGGTGGGCCTAGGGGCGTGGCGGTACCCGCAGGCCCCACGGGGAGGGGGAGGCCGCGGGGCCCGCGCCGGGTCTGCGGAGTGGGGCGGTTCGCCTTTGGCTTCTTCCTGTCTCCAAGTGCGGCCACCGCAGCCTGGAGAAAGCACAGTCGCCCGTCCTCGGGTCGCTCGTCAGTCCCTTGGCATCGCGGTGCCTTCTGGGTACGCACGGGGATGTAGCGCGGTCTGCCTAAAGTGCCTCCGCCTCGCCGGCAGCTCGTTATCTTTCTCTGCCAAACAGAGCCGTGGCGAACTGTTTTGTTTGAATGCGGGCGGCTGCCACGTGTTGTATCCGCCAACCCTACACGCTTTAGGTGTTCTGTTAGTATAGCTGTACTTAAAGCCTCTAAAGAATTAATTGCTCCAGTTTGTTTCATGTTGGGTTGTAAAGAAAAATCTTACCTCACTTATGTATTTCCATGACATGTTGAGATTTTAAGTCTGCAACACGTGCATTTTTTGTTTCTGAAGTTAATAGCCTTTCTGAAGTATTCTTAGAATAGTAGCAAAAGGAACTTTGTTTATTTCCAGTTTTCTGAATGTGGGAACGTGGGGTTATTCTGGGTCTTAGTTTCGAAATCTTTGACACTCAGCTGGCTGCAGAAAACAAGATCTAATCTTAGTGTTTATTCTGCTTGAAGGACAAAGCAAACGTACTTCTCATTTCTAACAATTACTAATTGGGAAGACTGATGTTCAAGATAGCTCACTTCCATTTTGTCTGAGCTTTATGGGTTTCATATTAAATTAATAATTAAAATGAGTGTTTTAGTAAGTATTTTAACAGGAATGTATCATGTGGATTCTGTGACTTGTTTCTTGATTGTCTGACAGTCCAGTTTGAAATAGAACTGCAAAATTGCAGCATGTTTATGCAATGAAAATAACTCCTATACTGATTAAGTATATTACTAAATAATAAAAGGTGAACCTTACTGCTTTGAGTTTTACAGCTACTGATGTGATACTTACATTAAAAAAAAATTGTTTTCTCCAGGTTTATTTTATTGTACAAGCTCTTTGCTGCCATAATGAGGCTTGTCATTCTTGAAGACTATGATCAGGCAAGTGAATGGGCAGCCAAATACATCTGCAATCGTATTATCCAGTTCAAGCCCACTCAAGGGAGGTACTTCACACTTGGCCTACCGACAGGCAAGTTTTATTCAACGCCTAATAAGTGACTAAACCTAAACTGTGTTTACATCATTGCTAACAAATGCCATATTTAAAATACTGCATTTGCTGAATATACTTCTAGTAATGCTTGTATTTCTCTTGTAGCGTGAAGATGTTAATCTGCTTTGAAAAGATTTGAGAAACTGGAAAGTAGATGGGGAAATAACAAATTTCTTTTAATTATATTGAAAAGCATTTTAGTAACATCTGCTTATAAAGAGATTTAAATATATTGAAAATGTGTGTGGATATATAGTATAGTAGAAAAACTTTGTTTAACAGGAAGTACACCTTTGGGATGCTACAAAAAGCTGATAGAATATCACAAGAACGGAGATCTCTCTTTCAAATATGTGAAGACTTTCAACATGGATGAATACGTAGGTAAGCTTTAGTGCTTATTTTTTTTGAGAATGCAGCGTATACTTACTTTTTTTTTTCCCTTATTAACTGTTAAAGTGTTTTAACAAAGCACAAGATTAGTAGAAATTCCTGAGATTCCGTTAGACTAATGTACCTGGGTGTCTTAAGCATATGTTTCTTTCTAGCCATTAGAATGCGAGTAATTAGAGTGAATCCTTGGCTAAATTAAGTGCTTGAAAACTGTTATGTAGCATTTTGACTACATTTGTTAAAGACTTTTCATATATTTGTAGTGATATTTTGTATCACTAAGAGTATATAGTGAATGTAAACATGTATGGCAACAGAAGTCTTCTCAGTATGAGTACTGCTTCAAGTAGACTTCATACTACTCAAGAAAGATTTGTCTTAGATTTAAAGCTGAATAAGTCTTTTAATATGTGAATTTGCATCTTAAATGATTTCAGGACTTCCCAGGAATCATCCAGAGAGTTATCATTCATATATGTGGAATAACTTCTTTAAACATATTGACATAGATCCAAATAATGCTCATATTCTTGATGGGAACGCTCCAGACTTACAGGTGGAATGTGATGCATTTGAAAAGAAAATTGAAGAAGCAGGAGGGATTGATCTGTTTGTTGGAGGTATGAGAAAATGCTTTATGGTTAGTTATGATTGAAATAAATATAATGACTCTTCAGTTGTGATTTTTCAGAACATAGTTAAAATCACTTTTTTCTGTTATAGTCTAAGAAAGTTCTGTGGCTAGCGAAGAATTGGTGCAAATACCAGAACAGAATGCGTGGTGTCCAAATTTCTAATAATAATGTAGTTTAAGTTTTGAATGCTTTTTTTGTTTGTTTGTTTGCGTGTTGAAATGGGGAACCAAGACAAAAGAATGAATCATAAATTTTTCTTTTTATTCTTTTGCAATGTTTGAGGATATTTGTTGACTCGCAGGTCTGGAATGATTTGCTTTCTTTAACTTTGAAAAGGCATTGGTCCAGATGGCCACATTGCATTCAATGAACCCGGATCGAGTTTGTCTTCAAGAACAAGATTAAAGACTTTAGCAATGGACACCATTTTGGCAAATGCTAAATACTTTGATGGAGACTTATCTAAAGTACCAACTATGGCGCTAACGGTTGGTGTGGGTACAGTGATGGATGCTAGAGAAGTAAGAACTTATTTAGTTCTAGTTGCATGTATCTGTTTTCAAGACTAGTTTGTGGTGTTATGGGGACTGAAGGTAAAAAGGCTTCTGTTTTGCAGGTGATGATTCTTATAACAGGTGCACATAAAGCTTTTGCATTATACAAAGCTATTGAAGAAGGTGTCAATCATATGTGGACAGTTTCTGCTTTCCAGCAGCACCCTCGTACTATCTTCGTGTGTGATGAAGATGCTACTTTAGAACTAAGAGTTAAAACTGTGAAGTACTTCAAAGGTGAGCACTGAATCAGAAGTTATCTCTATTTAAAAATAACAATTGTATGAAGTCTCCTGGCACATCATACAGCTAACATATATTCAGGACACTAAATGTTAACTTCTACATTGTGAGTGGGAAAGTGCTGGGAGATGTAACTTGTGTTCCTTGCATATGAAAATACAGTGTCATTTGATAAATACTTTATTCAAAAGAGATTTTTTTTCAAGTAATTCCTCTATTTCCCATTTGAAATGATAGTATATAAACTTGCAATTATAACAAATTTTATTTCAACCCTGGTATATTTCATGCTGATTTTATCTTATAATATACTGTCAGTAAGCTTCAACTATGTGAGGCAGACTTGGATGTGAACAGAGGACACTCTTCATAAAGTGCAATGGCAATCTATTGAGAGTTTAATGCATTGCACAAACTATGCTTTTCAGATTTGTAGTAGGTGTATTGAGGCAAGCTCCGAGTCTGGATTTCTTATAGTAACTTAGCGTTTCTGGATGTTAATTATATTTAAATAAGACTGTAGAAGCTCAGCAAAATAGTTTTCTCCCAGCTGTATTAGCATAGCACATGTTGTATGTATTAGCCACCTTTCTTACTGTGTGAATTTTTGTAGTAGTTGAGGCACGTAGCAGCAAGGCTGTCATTAGTGATATAATGCTCTAAAAATAGTCTGTAGGTAATAGTAAAGTCTGGTGTTAATGTGACTTTATACTGATTTCATTTATAATTCTCACTTTAGATTTTTTCAGTATGTTCTTTGGTACATATCAGGGAGAGGGGGCACTCTTCACACATCACACTGCTAGATAGTACTTAGTATTGTCAAAGATAAACCTCTTAAACTGCTTGGATGGGTGCTAAACACTATCCTTTATCCAAATAAACAAAAGCTCTTTTTAGGGAGTATACAAACTACTCTAATAAAATTATTAGGTATGAATGACACTGATAGTGAACATATCTTCACAGAAAACTAAGGGCTACAGTGTATGAATACGTACTATTTCACCTATTTAATTACCCTATAATGCATACAAAGCAATAGAGTTCTCAGATTGTTTTGCCTGGCGTAATTTTCCCTATTCATGTGTTAGTGAAGTTTACTTAGTTGTTTTTCTTTTTTTTAGATGGAGAAATCAGTATTAGTAAAACCTGGGATTATTTCTGAATCTTGATCTCCAGGTTGGATGACTTAGTTCTTAGGAAGCTGGATGGTTCTTGATGACTGCTAATTCTGGTAGCTAGTTACTACAGCTTTTTACCATTTAAGGAAAATCTCAAGGTATCACATGAAACTTCAAGCAGTTTTTGATAACAAATTGCCACTCTATCAGAAAGTTAGAATAACTTTTTACCCCCCCCCCGCCCTTTTTTTTCTAACTTTCTGAAACAATTAAGAGAAATGATCCTCTTAAGTGTTCTTTTTGCAAAATGGGAGGAAGGTCACCTTTTCCTTTCATTCCTTTATCACAGAAGAGGGCAGAAAAATATCTTCGAATTTACTAGTCTCCAGGAAAGTTAATCTGGGAGTTCTTTTTTACTTCTGCATGCTCTTGTTTAAAACATTTATTTAACCTGATTTGAGTTGACTGGGCTGGAAGATTTTTATGTGAAATAATTGCTTTTTGCAGTTATTTCTATCTAGTAAGAGACTTTGCATGTCATCATTTAAATAAGCTTTGTTTCTAACTGTACTTCCAAAACCACTAAAAGGATTTAAGTATAACTTTTTCCATATGGCAGTGAGAATACTCTGTAAGCATTTCCACGCCTCCAGGAAGTAAGTGGGTAATTCTCCTTTTCATTTCCTGTTTTTCTAAAACAGAACAGAAAAACAGGAAATGGAATGCTTAAACTTCAGTACATGGTGTAGCTGTTTTTCTTTGAATAAAAATGCCTTTTGTATCAAATCCACATTTGGTGTTTTCCTGCTTACTGCCAAACTCATGAGAAACATTACTGACTCTATCTTTCCAATATACATGATCAATAGTTATCCTTTAAGATCTAAGAAACTTTTCTTTTGTGCTTTAGTCATGTTGATTTCATAAGTTTTTCTTCTCGTGGTTGGATTTTTTTTTAAATTATTTATTTACAAAGGTCTGCAGTTCAGTCATTACCTCCAGAAACAAAAACAAGCTGGGTTCTTCAGTCTTTTCTTGATGCTTTGGCTTTCTGGTATGGCTGTAAGGTCCACCTAGTGGAGAAAAGAATAGCAAACTTGTAAAATACATCAGAGATGAAAATAAAAATAGACTTAATGATTCAGACTTTGAGGTTAGTTTGCCTGCAGGGATGCAGTGTTTGGTGCCAGATACATAATGCAGCAAGGGTATTTATACTGCAGCAAAGAATATGCTGTTGAAATGTGCACTTACTGTCAGATATCTTTTATGGCTTTTGAGAATCTCTGCTTTTAACATTGCCTATTTCTGAAATTTGTAGTAGTTGAAGCAAATCTTCTGTAGGGTTCTAAACTAGGCTCTTTACAGATTGAGAACGTTGACCAGAAACTGTTACCAGTTTGTAAGGTTAAAAAAATGTACCAGTGACTGGATACCATACCTTGGTAACACTTTGTAGGTAACACTTTTACTAAGTTGTAACAAAGTAAACAACATGATTTTTTTTTTTTTTTTTGTTTTAAATTGATCTTCCCAGCACTTTCCAGAGTTTTCCACAGGAGAATGGGAGAGAGGTTCTATATAGTCATTAACAGTCTCTGCTTGTCTCAAGTTTTGCTTGTCTAGGACCTGAAGGACGCTTAGTTACAAAGATACCACTGTGCTAGAACATTATAAATCAAGCTGTAAAATTATTAGTATGTGTAAATCTGATTGTTACAACAAATTCTTGTATGTGTTGCTGTTAAGCATTTATTAAAAAAGAGAGATGTGTATCTCTCATGAGGTGTTTAATTGATGTGGAATATTTTCATATCTTTTTAACTGGTCTGTTGTCATTGCTGTCTCATTTCTGTTTAGTTTATATGAAGATGGCAATAATATTTAAGTGATACAGGGAAAAATACGTAACTAGCATATATATAGTTTTAATTACTTTTGATTTTTTTAAACTACTTTGAATAGCCATAATCTGTCTTTTCAGTGAACTGTATAAAATGTGTACTTTGAAGTTAGCTCCAAATGTGTGGATAGAAGGACATGTTGGAAAAAGTATATTAAAAATGATGTAAAGCTGGCATTGTTGCTTTCCCCTCAAGGTTTAATGCATGTGCACAATAAACTCGTGGACCCTCTGTACAGTATGAAAGAAAACTGAAAGAAGAATTGAAGAAGAACTGCATGTGGGTCAACAGCAACAGTTTTAGGTAGCAGATGAGTTCACTGCTATGCAATATACTGAAAACTGTTTAAAATGGGAATCCTAGGTACTGTATTTTTTTTTTTTTTTAAAAAGGTCCAATATATGTACATTCACATTCCATCTCTATTTGGTGTTGTGCATTTTGCCTTGATATTTATAACTCTGGCTGTTACAGTAACTAAATGGAACAGAACAAATCTGTGGAAGACTGCATGTTATGTAGGGGTGGAGGGGGGTGGGACAGAGCACTTATTTTAGCACAGCAATGCATTGCATCTGCCTGTTAGAGGAAGTGATTGTTTATTTCCAATAATCTGTAATTGTGGTTTCCATTAGTGCAACTACACTTTGCATTTGTATTCCTAGGCAGAATGGTTTTGGCCTTTGTTAAATACTATGGACTTGTAATAGCTGTGCAATTTTTACTATGAAATGTTCTGTTTACATAATGCACACTAAGCTTTTGCACTTGATTGCCTTAAATTTAATCTTATACAAACAGTTTTTGGGCATCTTGAGTCCTGCTGTACAATTCAGGCAAATAAAAATATGAAAAACAGTGCCTAAAACTGCACCCAATTCTTAAAGTGTTATAACTTATTCTGGTTACTTACATTAAATGTTTGCCATAGCACTTTTTCTTCTCATGTGTTTCAAATTACTTTAGGGTTTTTATATTTTTAGTAATTGTGCTTTATATAGAAGGAAAGATCTAAATGTTCCTTTCTGTATATACCTGTTTAATTGTATTGGATGGTGTCATTAAATGCCTAGAATGAGGTTAACTTACAGGAACATGGACTCTCCAAATTCAAATGGTAGTGCATTAAAGTCTGCTGTTAACCACTCTGTAACAATTACCTCTTACTGTATCGCTATAAATACTGAACTGTCACAAGGAATGTTATTTCCCACTTTGAATAAGTAAAACTTAAATCTAAATCTATCTTTTTCCAAATTGTTTTGTTTCTGAGGTAAAGCGGAGAGATCAAGTATTTTGTCATCTTCATGTAAGGAAGAGACTAAGAACCAATTGTGGTTTTTGTAATTTTTGTGATCCACTGACAGAGCCTAATTTGAACTTAAGTTTTTCACTTAAACAATAACTTGTTTTGTTGCGTAGTCTTGTGCTTTTTTTTAAAAAAAAAAAGTAGTTGTCTACAACGTGGTTATGGAAGAGAAGAATTCTTGTTAGTTTAGAACAGACCTTAATCTATGGTATGTATTTGCTGCCTTAAATGATAAAAACAAATTTTGCCACTATCATAAACTAAAATATTTGTTTAAAGTAGGTATAGACTTAACACAAAGTACAATATTATCTGTTGGACCATACTGCTAGTTGAATTTCTGATTTTGGTATGATAACTTCTTGTTTGTAGACATGCAAAACCCAAAGGTAGTTTGCTCTGAGTAGCCTATGCTCTTACCTTTTCAAATAAACATGAGCAGCCAGGTACTACATAACTGTATTCTAGCCTAAGTCTTGGCATGTGAAATCTGGGTAAGATATACTAGGTCACTTAAGTCAAGTTTTGGTACTTACATCTTAACTTAAAGAGTGTCCTTTTGTGTTACTATTACTATAATAGGATGATAAACTTTTCGTAAAGTTTTATGCATAGATTTTCTAGTTTTTTCTAGCTTTTAGCATGTCACTATACACTGAACTTAAGTAGACCAGTATGGAAGACTTGAATTAATCTTACTTGCTGAGAAATGCGTAGTTTGTTTTCCTGTTGTGATTCCCCTCAACATCATTATTTCCTGATGAGAACCTTTAGCAAGTAAAACAGCGTAGCTTGAAACTTTTGTGACTTAAAATTATATTAGTTTAAGGATAGACAAACTGTTTTAATAAACTTTTTGACACAGTTGCTGTTCTCCTGCTCTTAACACATTCAAGCTTTTCTATCTAGCTCATGTGAAGTTACAATGAAAACTTTTAGATGCAGAAAATTCAAATAAAATAGCTTTATTTCCATTATAATGTACAAATATATAATTTAAATACAAAATCTTTTCAATTTATATTCCCATTTAAAATGATATAAACTAAATCAGATGTTCCCTTTCACAGTGATAAATTATACATTAACACATGCATGCTTACTGTCTCTAAGAAGTTAAGACAATCTGCTGCATAATTATAACTTATTTCTCAGGCTGTCTCTTTAAAACACGTATGAAGGCATCTCTTGGTACTTCCACATTGCCAATTTTTCTCATCAGTCTCTTCCCTTCTGCCTGCCTTTTTAAAAGCTTCATTCTTCTTGTAATGTCTCCACCATACTATGAAAAGGAAAAATATTTTATTAAGCCTACAGTACTTAATAAACACAGGCTTAAATGAGGCTAGTTATATTAGAAAATATCACTCTATACTCTCTACCATTATCCCAAGAGAGCAGTAGTTGAATGGGAGCAAGTGAGCACTTTCATTTAGACAACTAAAGGTAGATTAATTCACATTTTATATACTAAATATTCTTAGATAAGCCTGGATGACATTAGGATAGCAGGATAGAACTGTAGCATACTATGGGCTATTCAAATCCTTGTGGAACAGCAACTGTGTCAGCTTTGATACACTATAGCATCTTGGCTACCACAAGGTGATTACATCCAAATTCATCAACCCTTACATTGTCTGATGGGATGTCATCCAACCTACGTTCCAATTGGAAGAATTCTTAATAGCTGTGAGAAAAGGATACTTGTTTAATCTCTTCAATTTGTTAAGTTCAGCTATGGCATAGTTTTCCTATAGCATTATTCAGCCTTGTTTATCATCAACTATTGATATTTAAGGCCTCCTCTTACTTTCTTACTGAAAACTGAAGTGAAAATCTAATTGCAATCAGTCTATAAAGTGCTTTACTATACTTAAATAATCTAAGAAAAAAAACTAGGAAATTATGAAGTTACATAAGTGCATGCATATTCTTATTTCTTCAAGTATTATGAGATACTGAGTAGACACATGGAAGAAGTCATTACTGTTTCTAATCTACTGCAAGCACCAAGTGAAGGCTGCACAAGCTGAATTTAAAAGAAAAAGTTTAAGAGTGTCTGTTAACATTCCACTGACGTTTTGAAGCACAAGCAAAATATGTCCTCATGGGGTTTCTAAGGAAAGATAGACAGGTACATCACAGTTATAAGACTCTTAGGTTTACATGCATTGGAATAAAAAATACTTACACATTTTGCCACAACATTTTTCCTGTAAGCTTTCAATCTGTAAAAAAGAATACCATAAATATTAACACAGCGGAGCAACTCCAGTAGTGAAACTAAACAGCAAGTTGTCAAAATGCTGAGCATCATTTTTATGCTACATTTTTAAAAAGCAACAGAATTATGCCATTTTCACGTGTAGACAGAAGATAATGCTTTAAACATGTCAAAAACATTTTAAAGATGTTGATTTACTGTTCTTAATTTGAGAAATATGTCTTAAGGCAAGTAATAGACAATACTGTAGCTTTTATGTTTTACCTGCCTGTAATGCTCTATGCTTCATAGATGCTTTTACAACCCACATGCAAACAAATTCCTATCCAATTTTTGCTTGTATAGCCACTTCTGATTACCACAATTTAAATGTAATTTAAAACAGCAACAGCCAAAACATGACATGAAATACAACCAAGGAAAAAGTTTGCTTTAAAAGAAGTGTGTGCTCCTAAGAAATAGCTGTACTTGCTCAGCTTGCACATTTCCTTTGCAGTAGCACAGTTCAAATAGTTTCTTTTTGTTTGTTTGTTTGTTTTTGTGGCAGTGATGCATTATTGTGGGGTTTTTTTTTTTTTTTTTTTTTTTTTTTTTATGACTGCCAAGGAAAGCTACTTCACATCCAGGAAATCATATTCAACAATAAAAAACACCTTTTTCAGTACCAAGCAAGTACGTATCAGTGTGACAAGTTATACACTGCCGAATAAGTGTAATGCTGACCCCAGGCAATTTAAAATAAAAGGATTATTTTCAATTAATTTTTAATAATTAAGTCCTTATTCATGGTCACAGCTTGAAAGCATAGTGTTTGGGTTTTTTTGTAGGCACCTGGGAGTACATACAGAAAAACAGTATTTTGTGGTAGATTTGAAGTATTGTAACATGTAGAACCAGGGATGACATTAAAGTTCATATTTAAAATAGCTTAAATAAAGAAGAGGAAAAGAACAGTTTCACTTACGTTTCCCTTGCAATTATTTTCTTGCCAATAGCAGCCTGGATGGCTATTTCAAATAACTGTCTTGGTATTGTATCTTTTAAACGCTCACACAGGAATTTACCAGTAGCATAGGCTTTATCACTGGAAAAGAAAGTTTTGAGAAGTTAATTCTTTCAGAAACAGTCATGCAATCCCAAAATATATCCAAATGTCAGAGGAAAAATATTAAAAGTATTTATCTTTTTATATTCTTAAACTTACCAGATAACTTTACAACGCGGACTTTAATGACCGGTCTCTGTACATTACTCATTTCACACAAACAAGAGATAAGACTACGCTAACAGGAGGTTTTCATAAAAATGTTAAATGATGTTTGTAATAAATATTCTGATAATCTATCACACTGAAGCTTTATTGAAGAATTTCACAGCTTCAAATGCTATTTTTTTTTTTAAACTAGAAGCTCAAGGGGGCATTTTATTGATTTCAGACATGAAAGGTCAAAGATCTACATATCACTGAAGCATTCTCAAAATATCTTTTTATACAACAATGAAATTCTTTTTTAATCTACTCTAGCAGTCTGTAATAAAAAAAAGTTATCCAATTACATTCAGCATCTGCATATACTGCAGATTTTGGAGAAAAAAAGAAGTGACAAAAGGTCAAAAGAAGCTATAAAATTGATACTTTCATAAACCACTGAGAACAAGTGACTCTTTTCTCTAAAATGTTCTCACTTAATGTTAAAGCAATCATTCTACAAGGTTGGCCACTCCATTTTGCATCTTTCCAATTTGCTGAATATATATTTATTACATTGCTAAACTGCATACTTACTAAAAACACATAAATCAAATATACAGTAGAGATTCATTCTCCTCTTGCACAGTTATTTTTCTCAAGAAGGTAAGAGTTTCATTTTCCTACTCCAACCTTTAATTCTGAAATTCTGCAATTTAGTTAAAGTATACATAAATACATTAGATAATATACTAATTTATTTATTTTTACAATTACAAGATAGTGTTTGAATAAGGACCAAAAAAAAAAAAAAAAAAAAATTAATATCAGGATTACTAAGGAGATTGTGAAGTTATTTAATGGAGACTAACACAGACTTCATAAGAAAAAACCAAGGGGAGAGACTGGAAGATAGAAAGGCATTATTTTCACCAGCAAATGAGTAGTTCCTGAGAAACTCATGGAAACTGAATCATTTTAGCAAACAGTTTCTGAGACTATTACAGTCAATAAATATTTACATTTTCCTGGTACTCTAGCTAAAGACAAGATAACAGAAAGCTTGTACAGAATAGGGATTATTGGAGGCATAAAAATAAAACTTACCCAGTTTTTTAGTAGTATACACTGTAAACAATTCATAGCACATCTCCCGGACTGGTTAGTCCTTAATTTTTTTCCAACACCTTAAAAGGCTGCCAGTTCGCATTTATATGTGCATCTCCTCCTTGCACATTAACACGGGAACATTATATTTAGCACTTAGCTTTCCTACTATAAAATGCCTTTCTCTTTCAGATCTTCTCTGGAAGTTGGTCACTTGGTGAAATCTCAATGCTAATTTCCACATGCATTCATCATTCATATTTATTCACAATGAAAACATGCTTAAGTTTTAGTCCTTTGGAATAGAGAATCCAGTCAACCTACTTGTGTGTGATAGTTGCCAGTTCTTCAATTGGATTTCCATTTATAAGAATATCCATTTTGATAAGATCTGCTGCCTGGTAACCTGCATCTTCATAATCAAAACTAAACAAAGCAATTTAGAAGTCAGTGACTATGGTATTCTGCATTCATTGTTCCATAAATCTTAAGCTTTGTAAACAATTAACAGAACACTTGAACTTCATATTAAAATAGGAGCACAGTTTTGTAAAATCTCTCAGTATGACACCATTATTCAAAACTGGGTTCAACATTTCTGTAAATTTTGTCTCCAAGTAAGCAGGACACATCATCAGCTGCTGAGCAAGGAAAATCAGATATCCACATATTTACTGCACTCTCTTAAGAAGTTTATTCAAATACTTGTAAATGCAACTTGGAAGTTCCTCAAAGTTCCCTTTAACAAAGGGATGAGCATCCTGTCAAGAATGTCAAAGGAGTGGAACACTAATACTGCAGCACTATCATAAAGGAATATCCTTTTTTTGTGCCCTTCCATACTTTCTTCTCAGATATTTTTTCATTACTTCCCCTCATGGGAAGGGGGAATAAGAAGAAAGAAAGAGAATGTATTTACCTTGCATAGCCAGAAGACAGAGACTTAAGGGCATCATAAAAATCCACCACGATTTCATTCAATGGAAAAAGGTATTTTAGCATAACCCTATGTTCATCAATATACAACATTTCTTTCTGGACTGCCCTACGATCCTAGACAAATAAAAATTGTTTCAGTTCCTCTTGAAAAATATTTTCTATAAATAACACACAAAGCAGATCTTACAGTCTTGCTGCAGATTCCTTTCCTTCGAGAAAAGAAATCTAGTTATGAACTCTTCTAGTACACAGTGCTAAAGCAGGTACTTTACTGTCACTGAGCCAGAACACTAACTTTCAGTGTAAGGACTGTGTAGCTCGGGAGTAATTTTGCATTTATTTTAAACACACAATTTGAAATATTTACTTTCTTTTAAAAATATTATGAATTATTGTCAACCATCATCTATTATACTATTATCTAGTATCTTCCGAGGTATGACAAGTAGAGTTTAAAAATGCAAGTGACAAAAACTAAAACAGGATACCACAGTATACTAACCTGACACAAAATAATTATTTTCCTAATATATTCCTGAGGTGTTACAATAGTGCCAAGAACAGTTGGCTCCAGATATTCAGACACTGAATGTTTATCAGGAAATTGAGCAGGGTTGATAATAGTAATCTCTGAATTACCATACTCCTGAAAAAAAGAAAAAAAAAAAAATCCAACATTTTTCCTCTAGTCGCTCTGTAAGCATTTTATCCAATGAATTTCCATCTGTCTCTTGTCTGTTGGGCAAGGATATTCCCTATTACTTTATCCTGATAAGGCTTCTCCATCTCCTTACATATATCCTTACCCTTATATAAGGCACAGCTTCAACACAAAACCTGTTCCAATTATTCTGTAGCTTGATGATGTCGAGGGTATTTTTCTGTAAGCAGCACTTCAGGTTCAATCTCCTTTACAAGTCAAAATGGATTCTGAAGTTTTTGATTCCTTTGCAAGTGTTCCCATCACCTACCTTTTCCAGTCTAACATTCCTTCAGGGGCAGGAGCTGCCATTCTGGAGTAAAGATGCAAGGAAAGTCATGTTTCTTACTGTATGCATACAGTATCTCTGCACTTCAAAGCAAGTGATTATTTTACTTCCACTAGCAAGGCAGTGTTTCTGAACAAGGACCCAACATCGTGCACTGTTTGAAAACCTGAAAACTTGGTTCTGGTGTCTCAGATCAGCAATCTAGAATCATTTATGCCACAGAGGTGCCTTATTTCATAGCAGGCATGCTGCCTAAGGAAGAAACCACAATAACTGTAAAGGAAAAAAAAAAAAGGTCTGCATCTCATATCTCGTAGGTAATGCAACTTCTCTTGCACAAAGTTGGAATGTCCAAGCTTTCTACAGTGTTTAGAAAAACATGTTAAGTAATGAGTCTGCCTATTTCCAGCCTCCTTTGTCCAGCTTTCTCTCAAACTCAAAACACAGGAATTTTAACTGCAATCAGTTCAATAAGGTTTACAAATGGCTGTTTCACCAACAGTTTTGTTCAAAACCAGTTCGTTTTTATCAAAAAGTAACAAATCTTCACTAATCCCCATCAGTCTACAGTAGCATTACATTCTATTCCTAAAAGCATATATTTTCTGACAGATAAAGTTTGGAAGATGCCATGGTTTAAATCCAGCAGGCAGTTAAGTACTACATAGCTCTTTGCTGAGGAATGGGGGAGAGAATCAGCAAAAAAACACAAATCAGGACTCATGGGTTGAGATAAAAGCTATTTACTAAGATAGAAAAGGAAGAGGTATTTTACATAGTGTCCTTTATTCCCATTATCAAGGACAAGGGCAAGATATTAAAAAAAAAATCCAAAACAAAAGCGAGCGCTTAAAGTGGAAAGCAGAAAGAAAGTCAGTATTCTTAGCAAAAAAAAAAATAAAAAAAATAAAAAAAAAAAAATCCACAAATGAAATAAGTTTCAAGTTGCATATCAGTAATTCTAACGTTTATCATAAAATACTGTACCATTCTACATTTCTGAACTGTAGATGTTTTTAAAGTAGGCTTTTAAGTTGCTGTTTACATACCTTTATCAATTTTGCTGAGGAAAGAACAGCTTTATATGGAACAGTAGGTGCAGTCAAAATAACAGATGTGTTATATTCTTGCTCCAAACGTTGATTAAAAACTTCCATATGCAAAAGACCAAGAAAACCCAACCTGGGAAAAAAAGAATCATATTGGTCAAATATTTGTTGGTCACTCCAGTATGTTTATACTGTTAGTCTGGCATTATCAGACACAGCAAAGAACCTCTAAAAGCCAAAAAATACCATCACAACAAATCGCAGAATATATGTGAATGTAAAACAAAAGAAAATAGACTACTTTTCGTCTTTACCTATCATTAAGTTGAATTACGGCTCCTAATCTTGAAATAATTTCAATTTTCGATTGACATATGAAAATAACACAAAAGCCTCACCTCCATCCAGCTCCTAAAGCAAGGCTACTGTCACGATGAACAGTGACACTGGAATCATTCAATGTCAGCCTTTCCAAAGCACTTTTAAGATTATTATATTCTGTTTGATCTACAGGATACATTCCTGTCAAAACATATGACAGAGAGATTCTGTGATAGAGCTTGATCTACTACGTACTTATCTTTATAGTACAAGCAGTAATAAACAGTAACAATAACAAAACCAAAAATAGCTTGCTTTCTGTTAATTTGACTCTTTCAATCTGATTTTTTTTTTCCCCTAAAACCTTATTAAGGTAACATTCAATTAAAAAAAAAAAAAAGAAATAGAAAAAAACAGAAATTAACATTCAAACCATAACTGTAGGCATACTGTACTCATCTACTTCTTCACAGCTGTGGAAGATGAGTATACTAGTGAGTATAACCATTTTCTTGTAGGTGTACAGTGTAGCTATATAACTTAAGCATTAATAAATAAGCAAACGTCACTGAGACGCTCCTTCAGCAGGTAAGAATACACAGGTAGAAGAAAAAAAAAGTGCCATAACAACATTGCTAATTTTTTTTTTTTTTTTTTTTTTTTTAAGTGAATAGAATAAATGAATAAAAACAGTTGTCAGTGTAATTACTACTTGAAATAGGTTCCACTTTTCACATCACTGTGCTCCGATAATGCACAGGAAGCAGCACACATGCACACACACAGAAAAAATCCACACTGTTTACAGGATTACACTTTCCCCTCCCACATTCACTGGCAGCATAATATCCATGACAAAAATAAAGTTTTCTCAAAACTGATCAGGAAACTGAATAACAGAATTTCTTTCTAAAGCCATCTTCCGTAGCATGTGTAGTAGTTCACTAAAGGTGGCACCAACAGTCTAACAGAACTAATGATTAATAAGGACTTCATTTTCGAAAATATTAATCCTTCTTTTCCGGATACAAAGAAGGAAAAGCACTGGAAGAATATTAGGAGCTAGAAACATACCTTAGTATTGCAGTCATCTAAAGCCAGTCTGCAAGAATCTTGCCTGCTAAGTCGTAAAGAGCTATATAAATGGCATGTGTCTCTCTAGCTTAATTTCAGTGAAATTCTAATCCTCACAACTCTAAAATACATCTTAGAAGCTCTAATAGTTCTCCTGCTCTTGCTACCGGAAAAAAAATGATTCCTTTTTAGTTAGTTTTCTCCTCACCTGCAAAAACCATTGGCTTCACTGACTTAAAGCCAGGCAAAGGCTCCACTGGCTGTTTATACATAAACAGCGTGTCTCCTATTTGGGCTTCTGTTACTTCTTTCATTCCAGCAATCAGGTAGCCCACTTGTCCAGCATATCTGAATAGAATTGGTATTATACAGACACTTCTTGGCATTATGAATATTTCCACTGTTTTTCCCCACTTCACTCAGCCCAGTTGGAAATTCAAATAAATTACCCCCACGAGCCCATAAACAGTCCAAAAAGCCACATTTAAACTGTTGCAAATTTTCAGAGTTGCAAATTTTGTCTCAAGGGACGAACCATCTGTTGACTCACATAACTGTAGTTTTGTTAAACAGACACAGTCAGCTCTGGATTTTTAATACTGTGCTACTCTCAGTTTGAGAGCAGAAGAAAGAACTTGAGGATCTATGACAGAAGATAGAATGATTCTCAGCTACCAACACAGCAACTTTCACATGTTAAATGGGAGAAACAACAAAGACAAATAACCTCTACCAGTATATTATGCTGTTAGGAGAGGAACCCGTGATAGATGGAAAGAGTGTACTAGTTTTGGCTGGGATGGAGTTAATGTGCTTAACAGCAGCCTCATATAAAAGCCATGTTTTGGACTCATAACAAAAATGGTGTTAATACCGCACCAGTTTCTAAGCTGAATAGTGCTTGCAAAGCATGAAGGCTTTTTCCATTTTTCACTCTACCCCTCCCAGCAAAGAAGCTACAGGCTGGCAGCTATCACAGTCATGTCAGCAGACCCAAACTGACCAAAGGCATATTTCATACCATATAATATCACTCTCAGCAATAAGAAGTGTGTCATCTCTTCAAGGTAGCTGCTGTTCATAGACTGCCTGGATACCAAGCTGCTAGCACATGTTGGTGGATGAATGGCTTTGCATCAAATTTTTTTTCCCCTTTTTTTTCTTTTTTTCTTCACTTGTTAAACAGTCTTGATCTCGACCCACGAGTTTTTCCTTACTTTTGTTTTTCCAGTTCTCTCCCACACTCCACTGATGCTAGAGGAGTAAGCTAGTGGCTGTCTAAGTATTTAGCTTCCAGCTGGATTCAACCCACCACACACACAATAATGTAGTCCCTCATTTAAGAGCTTCCCAAAAATGTCATTAAAAAGTACTTGGATGCTAACTGATAATGCCTCTTCACTAATTCTGGCATACCTGATTTTCTTCCCACTGCTGCCATGACGAGATAGTTTATGGAAGCTGTTGCATTCATGGACTTAAAAGTTTTCCACCCTCAAAATATGCTGCAGCAATAACTAAGATGAAGCCCTATTCCCTTCCACTCTCAAACAAGGTAGTTCCTAGAAACAAACTGGACAGCTGAATATCAAAAGCTAGTCTTAAGAACTAGCTGTCCAGATGTTTCATACGCTAAGTATACATCAATAAAAATGACTCCCTCCCACCAGCTGTGCCCAAAAAGCAGTCCCCTAAAGTTTCTGACTCAGGATGACATTGAGCACTTAATTACAAATAATCATTACAATCCAAAAAAATAAAACAGCCTCTACCACTCAATCAAAACAGTAAATAAGTAAATGAACAGAAACAGATTTGATATCTTACATCAACTTACGATTTGTTCAATTGAAAGAAACATTTTACTTACAGTTTGTGTGTTGGCTGTTCATTTGGAGTCAGAATTCCTACTTCATTAACTTCATATCTTTTATTTGTATGCGCAGACACAATTTTATGCCCTTTCTGAATCTCCCCACCAAAAATTGCAATGTTAGCTATGACACCTCGGTAGTGGTCAAAGGTGGAGTCGAATACTAAGGCTTTCAAGGGATCAGTAGTATTAAATTGAGGTCTATCACAAAAGATTTAAAACAATTATTAAAACAATAAGAAGACCGTTTTCCATTCAATATCAAATGAATGAGCACCCCCCACCCTTTGTGTCTAAGTAGAAGCTATATGCTTACAAAAATATCACTCCAGTAGCTCACCTCTCTTTTTCCATTTCAGACTGAATTCATTTTCCTTCCCTGTTTCTTAAGAACAAACAATTCTTCTCTACTGATACTCATTACTGTTTTAAGAATTTCAGCAGATATACACTGATTTATTTTAAAGATCTCAAACCTGAAGGATCATTTTGTCTGATTTGCAATTCAAAGCTAACTTTTTCAGCTCAGAAACAAGATTTACCCCACATCTACTACCGAGATACTGTATAAATGCAACTTATGGTCTCCTAGACATCCTTACAAGACATCATAAGTAAAATAAATAACTTACGGTGGAATCTTTTCAATGACCTTCTCAAGAACTTTTTCAATATTTGTCCCTTGTTTAGCAGAAATCTAAAACAAGCCCAACAACAATTTTATAAGACATGTGTCTTAGACTCATTCACTATCTATTAAAGTGTCACCTTCTCTTGTAAGTAATTTTGGTGGCAGGAGAGAACATTATTCATATAAATACTCACTATTATGAAATACACATTTGATTATAAATACCCGTTACATGATTTCTCCACCTGAATGGGAATTATTGTTACGGTAAAAATGAAAATAATTTAGAGGATCCACAAGCAAAAAAAATTTTATATGATGCCATTCATCATCACACATTACAATTTTTAACTGAGAATTATTTTTCAGGAGACAAGATCTAAAGAAATTCATACAGCACATCATATGAAAACAGACAGACAACACCCTGCTGAATTATTATGTAGCTAATGAAAGATTAGCATACAAAGTAGATACAGGTATACAATCGGACACTATAAATCTTGAAGAGATCTTACCCTTATACATTCATTAACAGGGATATCAAACAGCTTCTCAATTTGTTTTTCAACTCTCTCAGGGTCTGCATTCTTTAAGTCAATCTGAAAAACAACAAACAACTAAATGTACAGGCCATGACATCTTACATACAATCAAGAATTGTAGCTCTCCAATGTGCAAGTGAAGGATTCCTTACGTCTTTACTCAAATACTAAAGATTTTCAGGAAAAGATACATATCAAGAATTTTTCAGTACTACGTCTTGGTGCAAATAATTTATAGAAAATTGGACATGAAAGGCTACTTTGCAAGTCTAAAGTAAGTTCAGCTACTAAGTGGAAACAAATTGATAAATTAAATTACAGGCTATTACTATAAAGTTCCAATTAATCATTTTAGAAAAAGTCGTCCTTGCTTGATTAGAGGAAGGATCCCTACTGCAATTATTTTTTGTTAAGAACTTTTATCCAAGAGCTGGTAAAATCTTTACTTTACAAAGTATTTTTAAAGCACAAATGCTACTTATGCTGTTTATGGTAGAAAACTAAGTACAATATATTAACTACATTCAAACTAAGTAATTTTGTTATTCCAGTCACACAGATTACAAAAACTGTAAAAAACAATGTATTTGGGTTTTTTTTTTTGTAATTAAGTTTACACTTTTTATATTGAGCTGCTACTCCTGTGTGTTATCATTAACACATGGAAGAATACAACAATCATCCTTGCAAGAACTTCTGTAAAGTTACTTTTGTAAAAACCCACTTGAATATTCCCCAGAATAAAAACTAAAAAGGAAGATGACAAATGGTTCAGATATCAATATATTTTACACAATGCTTCTTAACTCTATTCACCAAACAGATTCCATAAATAATTTTTCATTGTTACTTACAAAAATGCTAGTACATGTATTTTATGAAAAGTAGGAATTCCCAGCAATCATTAAAATATTAAGAGACAACATGTTGTTGCTACATACTTATTAATTTTTCATTTTATGCTCCTATTTGAAGACTACTAAGAAAGTTATCTTCTATATATTTATACAACTCAACTGTTTAATTTGAAACACTACAATTTCATTACCTTGTTTACGACAGGAATTATTGCAAGTTGTGCTTCAAAAGCAAGATAGAAGTTTGCCACTGTCTGAGCCTGAATACCCTAGAAAACACACATCAAAGAAATCAACATGGAATCTCTTGTTTCTTTTTAGGCATATTACACATGCCATAGAGAAAGTTACCATCTAAGCACTCCGTGAGAATGTATCCTTATTTAAAATCCTGATTCTATGATCCTCATATTACACTGCAGTAACTGACTCGTCAAAATGTTTTAGCAGCATAAAAGTACAACAGATCTTTGATTTCAAAACCCTCTTAGTACACAATAAGTTTATGAAATTTGCATGGATATCATTTTATGAACATTTTACTCCTGAAATATCAGTCAAGAAATTATTGATCTACTGATTTTAAAACTTGTGAATAAATTCAAAAATTCAGAAAACATCACATTTGGCTTAGAGTTTTAGTAATTTTTAATTTGGCCAATACTTTAATGTTGCCATATACATATTACAGTCAACTAGCTAAATCAAGTGTGCATGAATGAATCATCACACTCCAACAAGAAAATGAAGGTAATCAAAAGCATACAGTGAAACAGCTGTAAGCTCTCCAGATTGCCACTTGTAAAGTTCATGCAACGTAGAAAGCATCACCTGATTCTCCATTACTTCAGTGCTTCTGTTTCTATGGTATGGCACCACAGCACCTATTAAAAGGCAAGTATTCATCTGTGGCTTTTTTTTTTTTTTTAAAAAAAAAAAAAAACAAACTCCCATTAGTCTTCTGGAACACTAATACTTTTATGGAGCTAGACTACTGCAAAAATACTAATGGAAAGGTTAAAACATACTGAACTCCTCTCTAGCTTATTTAAAGAAATTGCTGAAATTCCAAAGGGAAAACAAAAATTAAGAACTGCACCTCATTGGCATCTACTACAAGTAGGACACCTTGGCAGGCAGATAGTGACCGTGCAACTTCATAGTTGAAATCTACGTGGCCCTGTGGAGAAAATTAATATTCATAATTTCATATATTTCTGGAGTCCTTTGCAAAGATATCTACATTATGATGGTTTTGTTTGTGTACCTGTTCATCCAAAACATAATTCTTACCAAAATAAATAAAAGGAAAAAACACACTGAATAAACACAAGAAGTCAGAAATCTGCTAAGTCCAATTTATAAATATAAAGACATGCAGCTCTGTGTGAATGAAACACCCCCTTTGCACTTATTGGTTATTATTTTTTTAATTAACTTACTGGTGTGTCAATAAGATTTAAGAGGTAGTTTACTCCTTTGTAATTGTAAAAGAGAGATGCAGACTGCGCTTTAACTGTAATTCCCCTTTCACGTTCCACTTGCAGTTTATCCAGTACTTGTTTGTTACGGTCAGTTTTAGCAATTGTTCCTAAGATCAAAAAAACAGTTTTATTATCTCATTTAGAATATTAGCTCTCCGAATCAGCAATTGCTGAAAATAGTACTAGCAGGCAGAAAATGCGACTTGCAGCAGCAAATCTAGTTCTTCCACTTGATTAAGGTAAATTTTCATTTGAAAATAAATTTATGCTTCAACTCCTTAAAATTTGTTAAATGGGCTTTTATCTATGAAGTTACAGAAAACACTTTCCTGAATAAGTATAATACAAAGCACTACGCAAGTCTAAATTAATGGTCCAGAAGTTCTTAAATAATTCTGACATTTAAAGAAACTTCAACCCTTATCATGGGAGAACAGCTCCATGGTTCCAACCAACACCAATCTCAAAGGCAAAAGGAGTATTATCATGGAGTTTGACAGACCTGAATTCAAAATTCCATTCTATCACAGGCATCAGGTAAAACTGCCCACAGTTAAACACAGAAGGCAATAACAAAGAACAACTTTGATCAAAAGCTTCTCACCAGGTTTTGTTTTGTTAACTCCTGTAAAGAGAAAAACAAAACTCTTCCAAAAGGTATTTCTGAGTAGTTAAGCTCTGCTCTGAAATTGGCCTCCACTTGGAAGACGCAGAAGTTGCTTTACAACTTACCACAGAGAGCTCACTAAGGTAATCTATGTCTCCCTCTTCCAATTTGAAATTGAAGCCTAATTTTCCCAGTCAGCTGTAGTTTTGAAGACTCTCTAGCATTTCTGCATCACTTTTACTTAAAACTTTTACTTATTCTCAGCAACACAAAAATTAAAACACTGAAGACAAAGATCTAGAGGATGACAAATACCTCTGAAGTAGAAAATAACACAACTTTGCTAACATTTTAGGATAAAACAAAGAGTAAATCCACAGAGCAACTGAGAATCCATAAAACTCACACTAGCAGTTATTTTACCTACTAAATCAAAATAGAGCTGAAGATTTCTAAAATTTACTATGCAGCACTATATCAGATTCAGTAATAGCAAGTTTCACCACCAAGAAAGGCAGTTCTATATAGCTTGCTCAGAAGAGAAGGATAACCTGTTACCTCCTTATAAGTAAAAATAGTTGAAGTTCTTTCATTCCTATCACACTTTTGGAAAGTATTCCATCCAGAATTTCTAGGTCATGACAGTCCTTCTGTCCATACCAGAAACTGGCAGTAAGCCTCAAAAACACGTTCTCTTTGGTTTATTTCCAAAATACATTCCTTTATTGAGGGAATTACACAGTTTCTTAACTCTACTTACTGACAGATTTCAACATGAATAAGAAAACATATTAACATCTGTAGCACTGCACAACTGGAAGCCTAGAAGCAACCTGACAGCAAATGAGCAAAGAGATTAGAAAGTTTAGGAATAAAGCTACTGAAATCTACACATCAATAGAAGGTAGTAAAGATGAAAAGAGAACACTTACCTGTAATTTCCAGCAATCTGTCTGCTAGTGTGCTTTTGCCATGATCTACATGAGCTATAATACTGAAGTTTCTTATGCTTTCAGCAGGATATGCTGACATATCTATTTTCTCCTGAAAAACAGAAAGTTTCTTTTCACAAACCACAGATACAATCTCTGTGTACAGTCTGACTAAGCCTTTTAAAGACAAATTATTCGTTTCTCTAGAAGAGGCATAGTTAGAAGACCCTAAATGGTTGCCAGTGTTCAAAATGCTAGTATTTTCTTTCAGCCATGGATACACATATACTTGTTACAACCCAAAATCAGTACGAAGCAAAGCATTGTGAAAGTTACTACATTCTTATGAACACAGGCAGTTGGAAAACTTAACACAGTTTAGGTCTGTTAAACTACTTAAGACAACTTGATCTGGGGGACTATAAAGCTAAAGACATCATTCCTCCCAAGCAAGAACTCTGTGGCATTACCTGGCTTTCAGGCAGCAGTGCCAATTACATAATAAGGAGCACTCAAGACTTCACAGAAAAGGAAGCAGTCTGTTTTGACTAAATTAAAAAAAAAAAACAAAAACAAAAACAAAAACACGCAGAAAACACCTGACTTCCTAAGATCACATGCAGAAAGGTCCAGCACTAACTTCTCCTTGTGTTATTCACTCAAAAAATTTTGAAGAAAGGTGGCTTTGCCAGGAACCACAAGACTCCCAGTAACAATAACACCCTGCTGAAAAACTCTGACTCCTAATTTTAAAGACACACAGCTCCTCTCCCACCATATTATGCTTGCAACTTTGGGCCTGGCAGAGAAAAGAGAAAGCCCCAAAATCTTTGCAAGCATCAAAGCACTGATTAAACCGACTGATTAAACCCCGACAATGCCTCGGCTTGGAAGAGCAAGTTCTCCCACTACCAGAGGAACGCAAATGCTCCCACAGGAGAAAACCACTGCTCGTGAACATCTGTCTGCAAGGCCTTCCTCCTATACACATGGCCACCGAAGTCGAGGGCCGCAGCAGCAAGCACTCCCCGAGATGGCTAAGCGCCTCTGCGGACTGCACGATTCAGAATTAGGGACACGCAAAGCGGAGTCACCTTGTCGCGGGAGCTGTAGAACCGCTGGCAGGCCTCAAGCCCCGTGGGCAGCCAGACCGGAGGTCCCCGAGGGACGGCCACAGGGCAGGGCCAGAGCAGCCGGACCCACCACGAGACCGTCCTGCCGGTGAGAGCCATAGCGCCGGGACTGGATTCACCCCCTCAAAGCGCGAGCCTCAGTCCCATCGCAGCCCGCTGCCGCTCCCCTCACCGTTCTCTCCGCGTTCTATTTCACGCGGTGCCCCGGGACGGTGCTCCGGTCATTCCATGCGCCGGAAGCGCCTCCAAGCGGCGCCGGAAGCGGTCAGAACAGCTCCCCAACAGCGCCCCCTGCTGCTCCTCCCTTCTGCCCGCATCACACTCGCGGGTGCAGTGCAACGTTCGGCCGTGAGGTGGCTGGCGGGCTGCCTCGTACCTCTGCGGCAGTGCCTTGGGTGCTCGCCGCGGTCCAGCTGCAGGGAGATTTGAATGCTCGCTGAAATCTCCGCAGTCTTTTTCCCTTTGCTGTTTTTTCCCTTGGCTGTTAAAAACAAAACAGAAAAAAATAGCGCAGTAGTTTGTTCAATCTGCAGCTCCGTATAGATTCACAGAACATCCCCAGTTAGAAGGGATCACAAGGATCACCGAATCCAGCTCCCACCCACCCAAAATGCAAACCCACTGTCCAAACACTTCTTGAACTCCAACAGCTCAGGGCTGTGAACACTGCCCTGGGGAGACTGTTCCATGCCAGAGTACCCTCTGGAGGAGAAACATTTCCTGATACCCAACCTGTCTTTATTCAGTGAATCTTCAGTCCTTCTAGATTTGAGATTTTATCACTGACTGTTTCAACTATTCCCCTGAATTTAATACCATTCACAAATTTGCTGAGCACATTGTTTCTCTTGATCTTAATGTGGACTAGTGGTTTTCTTCACTTCCTGTTGCCCACCAGCTGCATGTGTCAGCACAGCTAAATTTCAAACTAACAGTCAGTCTTTGTAGTTTATACTTCTTCAGTTTTCAAATGAGATTGCTCTGGAGGATGGTGTCAACAGCCTTGATAAAGACAAGGTGTATTACTCGCTTAGCTCACAGCCTCATCCACATAGCCAGTCATTTCATTATGGAAAGCAAACAGATTAGACAAATAAGATTCACTGGTGCTAAATTTGTGCTGACCATTCTGCTTTACTACAATGTTCTTCAGAGTTTGGGGGCAGTTTCCAAGAGGACTTGTGATTTTATCACTCATTCATCACATCTATAATACACAGTATTCTGTGTATATATCTGATATATATATCTGATAGCCCATCACCAAGAGAGACCCACTGATTGAAAGTCTTATTCTGATTGCTATCTAGTATTCTTTTTGTATCAGTGGCATTACAACCACTGTATGTATTTTTTTCCTTCTTTTGCCTGTCTGTTCCACACACCTGATTCATCCACTCTCTTTTCTTGGAATTTTGTTTGTTTTTATGTTTGTGGTTGGGTTTTTGTTTGTTATTTCATCTTATGAGTTTGGGAATTTTGTTTTCCTTTCCCTTGGTACCAGGGGATTACTTGTCAGAGCTGTTTGGTTTCCAATTGCAACATCTTAGTACTGCTGCAAGGCACAGAACAGTTTTTTTCTACAATACTTATTTACAGGTATACAGAGGAATCTGTTGCTTTGTGTAGTTTCTGCTTTGCCAGCCTACAACTTTCTGGTCTTCTCAGCTGTTCTTCATAAAATTCTAGGAATATACTCAGAGCTGCTTTCCATGCATTGGACTTTAGTACATTCTTCTTCAGCTAATGTGGTCTATTCCAGACATTTTTATGGTCTATTTTTTTCTGAGCTTAGCTTCTATTATTACCTACATGTTCTGTTGTTTTCATACTTGAAAATTTTGCGTAAAGTTTGGGAAGAAATGCTCAGACCTATGGTGACTGGCTTTATCTTTCGCAGCTACACAATCTAATCAAGATTTGAGATGTAGCTAAATACAGTATTTCAAAACTGCCAATAGGTCACTCAGCTAAGAAAACTGCAAATATGTTTGTCAGATTCATAATCTAGAGATATGCCAAATAAAGCAAGATGCAGTATGTTTTGACGTTAAAACAATTTAAAGATGATTTAATAATAGGAGGATGTAAATATAAAATTCCTAATTGATTCTAACTTACAATTATTTGGCCTAAAATGGCTGCATAAAATTATCTGTGAGTGCAGACGGTACAAAAGTTCTACATATACCAGCTTGGGAGCATGCAGTAGTAAATTTGCAAGCATAGTTCATTATGCTGTTCTGATCACATTGAACTTGGATAGTAACAGGATAAAGAGAGACCTTCAGCAGATTCATGAAAATGTATGGAGAAAGAGAAGCATGTTCTTGAATAGAAAATGAGTGTAACAAGAGCCATGAATCCAAAGCTGTAATCCATAGCATACAAATGAATATAGCAATCATTTTTGGAGGAAAACATAGTTCTTGTAGATTGTCTGTAGACTGTCTGTAGATTGTTTGTCTTGTAGATGCACCGTAGACATTGGCTTACTCGTGTAGTAACAGAGAACCTAAATAAAATGCATAGCAATCCCATAATTGCTAAATGGATGCTGTCTTCAACATTGACAAGGATACTAGCAAATCTAAGAAGGCTCTTTGTTAGTGGAAATTAAACTGCACTTTACAGAATATCACCACTGTAGAGCAATATAGACAGATACAAAGATAAAAAGAATTAAAAACAAACAAACAAGACATCTTTAGAAGTGGCTGCTCTATCTGTTCAGAGTAGCAACACACATTTTTTATTCTGTGTAATGACCTGCACAAAGTAGTGTAGTCACAAAAATATCTGCTGAGGCAGAAGTTATTGCAAACCAAATGGAATGACTAAAGATCGCACTTGCACTTCACATCTGCTGCTTAGAGAACCAAAACTCTTCCACCTGCACACCTGGCTGACTGAACTAGCAGTGATCCAAGGAAGAATGCTGGAGAAGTTGCCAAATGAGCTGATGCACCGTGCCTTTGTTCTGGCACTCACTCTTGTCTTGTTCATGTGGTTTGAACAGTTATGGAGTGAATGCCAGTCCATGCAGAGTGAGATCGGTCCTTTATGCTGAGCCATTGGCGCATGTATTTTTTAAATAAATGAAGACAATCAGGAATAGAGCTACTTTTCACATATGACTTCTAGTCATGTCCACATAATACATTAAGCAAGTTTAAATTGATGGTCTTTCATTAGGATAGAGCACAGCGAAAAACACAGAGAAAGTCATTTATATTTACCTTCACTTTTCAGCATGTATAGATATACTCAGAAAAAAATAAGATTTTTCATCAGTGTGCATTGAACTCCATATGCAACAGAGCATATTTACTAGAACACTTATGGAAAACTGTACAGTTCAGCAGAAGAATAAATGTTAAAGTGTTTGCAGGACAGCAAATTAGTAGCATAAGCATGAACTTTCAAGTGATCCATTTATGTGTCAAAATGTGATGAATGGACATACACAATTAACATTTCCTGTACTCCGAAAGCCATTAGTTACAATGAAAATAAATGGAATGTACATATCATTAGCTGTATTGACTAACATTGAAGCCAACCACACCGAATGATGAATTCCAATATTTACAGACTTATGATGGAAAATATGGAAAGGAAAAAAAAAAAGAGAGAGAGAAATAAACATAATTTTTTTGCCTAATTCTCAAGGAATGTATTTCTCTGTAGCTGTAAATGGATGCAGCATTGAATATCTTCTAAGTAATTATTTCAGTTGAACTGCAAAAGATAGTTCTGTTATAATTTCAGATCTGTAAGTGTTATGTGTTATATGTGTAAAGTGTTATTTATTGGCAAGCGCATTCTGTAGAAGCAAATGTGTTCCCCAAATGGCATGGTGTCATAGTCTTAGTTTTGATAGGGTTTATATGTTTTCCTGAAAGGTGACAAAATTGCATTTACACATTCAATGATCTTATCACCTGCTAAACTTTCTTAAATGTGGTGGGTACACAGAATGACATAGAGTTCTACAATGCAGTGAATAATTTACCATGAGCTGAGAAAATGTAGCCTAGATTTCTTGGCATAAATGCAAGCAGAAGATTGGTGTCTATGGAAAGCACACCCTTTTCTATTCATCTGAGAACATGCCTCATTTGGAAGCAATCTTTGGTAGCATTGGGGAACTGTGGAAGTGTGGAAATGAAAACAGATCACATCATGTTAGTTAAAAAGAAAAAAAGGGGAGGGGATAAGGATTTCTGCATGTCATTTGTAAGGATTTATGTAAAAAAGCATCACTAATACAAATTAAATATTTCTATTGTCCATTTGTAGTTAACTCCACATGGAATAGTTCTACCAAGTACATTTTCTGTCACTATGAGCAGACAATAAAATGGAGTGACTTCCTTACTGGTAACATCTGTAGAAATGTACTCTTTTTGTAGATGTATGCCTCTATGCCAAATTCAGGCTTTCAACTGCACAGTATTGGAACTTGGAACTTTAAAAATTAAACTGGAGAAGAGAAGGCTCTGAGGAGACCTTAGAGCCGACTTCCTGTACCAGAAGGGTGCCTACAGGAAATCTGGAGAGGGACTTTTTATAAGGGCAGGTAGTAACAGGACGAGGTTTTAAACTGGAAAAGGGTGAATTTAGATATCAGGAAGGAATTCTTTACTGATGATGAGACGCTGGAAAATGGTACCCAGAGAAGTTGTGGATGCCTCCTCCCTGGAAGCATTCAAGGTCACTCTGGATGAGGGTTTGAGCAACCTGTCTAGATGGAGGTGTCCCTGCCTATAGCAAAGGGGTTGAAATAGATGACCTTAAAGGTCCCTTCCAACCCCAAACATTCCATGATTCTATGAAAGACTATATATGACTGGATAAAAACTAGAAAATCCTCTTTTTTTCCTCCTTTTTTCTCTTGCAGGAAAAAAAATATCAAGTGCAATGTCCACATTGTACATGCCGTTATATCTACAGTATGCCTTTCTGAGCAGAAGTTATGGTGAAGGGAGAATGGCACAAATTGATGGCAGTGGCTGGAGTAAGAATTTTATTTCTTCAGACTGACAGTGAATTTCTGTTTTGGAGAATTCGTTGACATTAACTTGTCACGTTACCACGTCAAGTTGGTCTCAATTTGCACTTGAAAATGCGGCTGTAACTTCAATCTCTCAGCACTTTGCGGTAGAACAGACAAACAGTTCTGTTCTAGTCAAGCTGACAGAAGTAGAAAACGTAAAGGTGTTTCTTGCCTTAAAAATAAAA